ATCACTGAACAAGCTCAGTGTATGATCGCTGGAACTGAAATTACAGATACAGAAATACATCGAAAGGAAAAAGGGATTATCATCAAATCACTGAGAGAGAGGATCAACAAGAACATTTCACTATACATCTACTGGGACTTACAAGAGAATAATTCACATTAATACATTGCACTTGAACATTATATATATCGAATTACTATCGAACCTACGTCGAATAACAAAAATACTCAAGCTTTTTTCTTTTTAGGGTTTAGAGCCCAACATTTATTTATGATTCGATGGTCATAATGGCACTTTGAGTTTTCTTTTCGGATGGTAAAAGAAATTTTTAGCTTTATTTAAAATGCAAAGTGTACATATTAATCATCCCATATGCATTCGTCTTAGGTGCCGTTTATCAAACGCTTACTCGGGTAAGCGCTTACCAAGTCACTTTACTTTACCAAACGAATATGACAAGGACTAAGAATCGTATCTCGTAAGAGCGAAGGCAAGAATCGAGAGTCTTACTCGGTATGTGAGTGCGACCACTCTTACCATGGTTAACACTTACTAGGATTAAGTTGTTGCATACGATGCGTGTTAGTGAATTAAATTTTATCCGATAAGTAAGCGATATTGTTGAATTTTACCAGTAAGTGCTTACCGGATAAGTGTTTAGGTAAACGAACCCTTAGACTCTAATATATTATGTTTAATGAGAGTCACATATAAAAGAATCATTTTTTCAAGGCTTCAATCGTAAATACTTGGATGATATGATAAGAGGGAATGATCGAACATAAAACTTTGTATTTTTGTCCAAACCAAACTGCAAAATAGAAACCTAACTAAACACTTACCCTCTTTAATCTTGTTCTGTTTTAGAACATTAACTTTACAAGAACAATGTGCTTTTCTAGTGGTCTTTTTTTTTACATATATTATTCAATATGATAAGAATAAAGGAACAATAGCATTTACAATTAAATGTAACCGTTTTGTTACTAAAAGAAAATTAAGAGGCCATTTATCAAACGTTTATCGGATAAACATTTGTCGACAAAAATCACCATCCCACTTACCTTATCTAGTAACATTTTTGGCCATCAAAATAGATTGTTGGTAAATGTATTTTACAGGTGCTTAACGAAAAAGTCTTTTTTGTCACTTATCAAGTAAGATCCTTAATCGTTGCTATATTTCTTCCCGAATAAGATTTTCAATTCTTACTATGTCTTTTTTTTTTTATTAACCTGAATATCCAACCCGCTATGCGAACCAACTAATCCCAGGGTGACCACCTGCTTTGCAGATGGCCTGAAGTCACCGCATTTGAACCTTCGTGACTTCAAAATGATTTTTATTTCTCATTCGATTTGAAAATTTGTGGGGGGTTAAAACTGCAAATTTACGAAGTTTAGAGGAGATTCAGACAATTACCAATAAACCCACATAAAAAGATTTAAATTACAAATAAGTCAGGATCACTGCAAAGCTTGCCCCTTCCCAAAGAAACAGGCTCTCTCTCATCGTACCGATCGTAGCTATCGGTCTTCCTAGGGCTTCACCAGCTTCCCAAAGTGCTAATCCCAGATCTAAAACCTCTATATTTTGCTCGGAACAGCAGTTTTTGTTTGTTGCTATTGGACGACGAAACAATGGCTGCGACTATGGTGAGCTCCGCGGGTGGTCTCTTAGCGATGCTTAACGAGCCACATCCGTCCCTTAAACTCCACGCTCTCTCCAATCTTAACGCCTTCGTTGACTACTTCTGGCCGGAGATCTCTACCAGCGTTCCAATCATGTAATTGTCACTTCATCCTCCTCCCGTATATGTATTTTCATTGTCGTTGGTTCGCTTGGGAAGTTAGAACGCTTAACTCGATTTTGGAAGCAATTTCACTTGATTAGAAGGGATTTTATTGTTCGTTAATCTTTGCTTTTTTTTTATTTAAAGATGGATTATATTAGGAAACCTTTTGGTTCTATGGAATCCGGATTGAGTTTTGAGGCAATTAGCTGAATTTAGAAGGGTTGTGTTTATGATAGGCAGCTTGTTTGAAACATTAAGCACTATGAATCTAATGATCTTAGATGTCATTAAGTTGGTTTGTGAGTAAAAGTCAGCATTGTCTTTTTCTCTATCAGTGTAGTGTTTTTAGGTCTGTGGGTGCTGAAATGGCACCAGGCATTGTTCAACATGTATGAGGAAGAGTTGAATATGATTTTCTGTTAAACGTCAAGATTTTAGTTATGCTAACTAATGTAGGTGCTAGGGAATTTTCAAGCTGCATACTCTGGTGCCATAAACTGTTGCTGGAAAATGTGATGCGAGTTTGAGAGTATGAATAAGTAATAGTAAAGACAGTCATGGAACATCTGCAAGATGCAACTTTTGCAGCCGAAAGCATACATAAGCTCAATGTTCAAAAAAATAAGTCAAAGTAATAACTTTATTTTTGACAAATACTTAAATAGAGGTTGGAGATGATATTACACATAATAGCAAATTCATATCATTATTAGATAACTTTCGGAGTTTTACACTTGAAAACTTGAATAGCAAAATGCTATAGGAGAAGACTTTAGTGAACTTTTGAATTATAGTAAACCGTGTCAGACAAATAAGAATTTAAGAACCAACATATTCAACATGACTGCAGTTGGTATTAAAACCGCACACTGAACTGTGAAACTTTCATGTTAATGATTCAGAGTGCATTAGAAGATACAAGTTGTAAAGTAAATTTGGATTGGGAATTTACCTTGAACGGAAATGATGCTTTTATTTTGCGACAGTCCAAAATGAAATTTTTTGCATTTCGTTGGGGAAAGGGAGTACTGGAAAGAAGCTTTGTGTTTTGATAGTAGTAAATCGAGGGAAAATGATACATTCAATGACCTAGGTATCCTTCAAGGAGAATGGAGTCATAGGAGTTGGATATCGATTGGCTTCTATGGTAAGCGTGGGATGATTCCTATGGTTGAGTCAGTATGCATATTACAAATACCTTGGATCAATTTCTCAGATTCTCATAGGAGTTGGATACTGAATTGGCTCCTATTATATTTTTGTTAATTATTCATCTTTATACTCTATTTGTGTAAAAACCTGAAAATGAGTCTCATATCGATCTTTTTATTTTTGCTAATTAGAAAGACTTGGATAAATTTCTCAGATTTTTGCTAATTAGAAAGACTTGGATAAATTTCTCAGATTGTCATAGGAGTTGGATACTGAATTGGCTCCTATCATATTTTTGCTAATTATTCATCTTTATACTCTATTTATGTAAAAACCTGGAACTGAGTCTCATATTGATCTTTTTATGTGGTTTACATTCAAAGCTCAGTTATTTTACTGGATTTTGCATTATACTAATACATGCATAGAAGTAACTAGTAAGTTTTTGCATATGAAGCTTTCTTGATGTTATTTTCTGTAAGGTTCAGACTAAGTTCCTTTCAGATGGATTTATTGACACTATTAATTTTTGTACCCAGAGAGAGTTTATATGAAGACGAAGAGTTTGATCAAAGACAGTTAGCTGCTTTACTTGTTTCTAAGGTCTGAACTTGTTGCTCTTGCTGCCATATTGTTTCTGCTGAGTTGTAAACATATGTCAGGGTTATCTATTGGCTTGACAAACCAGTGACGTTTTAGTAACTACCTGCAAGTGTTTTGTATCTCTTTCTATATGCTTTCAGAAAGCTCTAAATGCCACCCTACTCTATTTTTGTTGACTCTGCCAATCTTGTCTATCATCATGGATTTCAATACTTGTCATGTTCATCCTCTTGGTCTGGATGGTTTGCGTTTATAAGTGAACATATATTTTCTACATGAGGAAACCGGCCTGATTGATTATCATTGCTTTAGGGAAAAACTATAATTTTGATGACATATTTTGGATGAGAAAACATTGATGAAAGAGGGAATGAATTATGTTGATGGATCGTTGATGTTAGTGATTGCAAATTGATGCTTGCATATATCATCCCGTACCAATTATATTGAATGGTAAACACTTTCAGGTTGCGGCTTCAAGTATTTCTTCTGAATGGTTTATATTTTCATATTTATACATGGAATGGAATTTTTCCTCCAGGGATTTTTTTATCATAATTTATGATTTTGTGGAATCTCCTGCCTGCAATACTAAAAGAAATAGAAGGCTGTGTACCTCCTTTTAAGTATGAACTCGTATAATCATGTTATTGTTAATTTTGCTCTCTTTTGCTTGTTTTTACTTTATATACCGCTATTACTTGCTCCAGGTTTTCTATTATTTGGGAGAACTCAATGACTCGTTATCATATGCCCTCGGAGCTGGCAGCTTATTTGATGTTTCTGAAGATTCAGACTATGTCCATACACTTCTTGGTAAGGATAGCTGGATGGATGCCCGTTTGACCTTTGTAATGATCACTTTGAAGTTTAACTGTGTTCTGTATGGCATTAGAGTTGATTATCTATCATATCAACCCAGAATGGTACTAGTTCAATATTTTTTGCATAATTTTGTAGAGTATGGCCTCACAAACTGTTTGGTATGATGTTTTTCCTTTGTTCAGCTAAAGCTATTGATGAATATGCAACTCTTAGAACTAAGGCCGCAGAATCAAATGAAGCTGCAGATTTGGACCCTAGGCTGGAAGCAATAGTTGAGAGAATGCTTGACAAGTAAACCAACTTTTACTTCTCCATTTAATTCGGTACATTGTTTTTGTTTGCACTGTTAGTGTAAACAATTTTTACACAAGTGACAGTTAGATGATGACAAGTGTACTGTTATCCCTATGAATATTGTACTCCTCAGATATCCTTAATTAGATAGTACATTCATGGGATATATGTCATGACCTAAAAATTGCACATGATAAAAGATTTACACTTTGACAATGTATAGAAAATCTACACTAATTTTTCCACATTTTATCTGTTCTTTTCTGTCTTCCTTAAAATCTTAGGTGTATAATGGATGGGAAATATCAACAAGCTATTGGGATGGCCATCGAATGTCGAAGATTGGATAAGCTTAAGGAAGCAATTACAAACAGTGATAATGTTCATGCAACTCTGTCATATTGCATGAATGTATCTCATGCCTTTGTCAATCGAAGAGAATACCGATGTGAGGTAAATATGTTTAATGTAACAACAGTATGCTGCTCATCCTATTAAGTTCTTTTTTTTTAATTCCATAATCTCAGATAATGCTGTCTGACTACTTCACTTGCTTTATCCTTTATGTTTGTTTATTTATGAGCTTTGTTTAAAAAATTAAGGATCAAATTGATAGGCTAGCTTTCTTAGATTTCAGGATGTATTCGTCATCTACTGCATCTTGCTTGTTCAGCAATACTTTGAGCATGTGGAGTAATGGAATATGAAAATAGTTACAGATCAGTTGCAGTTGTATGTAAATGCTGAATAGACACCATCTCACCAAAAGAACATGAAAACCACTTAAGGGGCTATTTGGCAGTTGCTGAATGCTTTGATGCAAAATGATTCGGAGGCTCCTGATATAGTGCAAAATGAAAATTAATTGTTTGGTGACAGTTTACAATGAAATTAGGGCGCTGAATGGTTAAGGGAGGCCCTGGATACAAAATCATTCAGAAGGTTTTGGAACCATTAAGAGGCAAGTTTTTTTTGCCAAACATGATTCACCTCTTAACGATTCAGAGGCTGCCTCTTAATGGAACTATTAAGTGGTAAACAAACAACCCCTTAATTGTTGGATCAGCACACCAATTGCATAAGTGAAACTGAGGAAGGTTTAGTTCATTCATTTGTTCCAAAATCCAGATGGCATCTGGAAATCTTGGTGTACGGAATTTTTAGGAGAAAAAAGGGCAACAGTTTTTTTTTTTTTGGGACCAAGTTATAAGCAATTTAAGCTAACATGAGAAGCCAAAAGCACAATGTAGTTCATTAGTGATTATCTAACACCAAAACATTAATCAAGGTGAGCAAAGTTTCAGATATATTCTTGGATGTGTACGTGTCATTAACAAGCACAATTACATTCTGCAATTCCTCCAGGCATCCGTTTAACCTGAATAATGGCTTTTAGTTACATGATCTGTTGATCTGATTATCTTTTGCATCCAAGTTGAGCAATAGAACTCGGTATTGCTTTTCTGCAGGAAACTTGACGTTCTTATGTAGTTTTTAGTTGGAAATACCGTATGAGAATACACATTGATTTTTTTCTATAAATATATACATTCATTAAAATGCAACATGAATTCTATGGAATGCCATGTATATGCTGTTGTGCATCCAAATTTGCTCTCGTAATCCATTTATTGCCATATATCAAATTTGCAGGTTCTTCGTCTTCTTGTTAAAGTTTATCAGGATCTGGCATCTCCAGATTACTTGAATATTTGTCAGTGCCTTATGTTTCTGGATGAGCCCCAGGGTGTTTCAACCATATTAGAGAAACTTCTACGCTCTAAGAATATAGACGATGCAATGCTTGCATTTCAAATAGCCTTTGATCTCGTTGAGAATGAACACCAAGCTTTTCTATTGAGTGTGCGAAATGGGCTCTCAAGTCCAAAGTTGCCCGCTCCTCCTGTAACCACTGTAACTGAAACAGATTCTGCTCAAAGTGGAAATCCATCTATGTCAGAAGACACTCAAATCACCGCTGAAACCCAAGCACCTAATGCTACTGTGCCTGAAATAGATCCAGGTGAACTGACATATGCTGAGGAGTTGACTAAACTTAGAGAAATACTGTCTGGGGAAACTTCAATACAGCTGACTCTGCAGTTCTTATACAGTCACAACAAGTGAGAAACCTTTTCAGTTTTTCAGCTTTTGGTGTCAACCAAGTTTTGTGTACTTTTGGTTTTGTTTATAATTGTGGAAGGTTCTTATAGTGATCTGGATCGACAAACAGGTCGGATCTACTTATTCTGAAAACAATAAAGCAATCGGTAGAGATGAGAAACAGTGTGTGCCACAGTGCAACTATATACGCTAATGCAATTATGCATGCTGGAACTACTGTGGATACATTTCTAAGGGAGAATCTGGTAGATATCATCTGTAGTGCACTTGGTTTATATTCTGTGGCTCAAGATTCCAATAATGACTTGTTGCATTTCTAAACGTTGTTGCTTGCCTATGATGTCAGGACTGGCTGGGCAGGGCCACAAACTGGGCTAAATTTAGTGCAACTGCTGGGCTAGGTGTTATTCACAGAGGCCACCTGCAACAAGGAAGATCACTGATGGCCCCTTACCTTCCCCAAAGCGGATCTGGTGGTGGTGGTAGTCCATATTCTGAAGGTGGTGCCCTTTATGCTTTGGGACTGATTCATGCAAACCATGGGGAAGGGATCAAACAATTCTTACGTGATAGCCTGCGAAATACTAATGTTGAGGTGCTTGTTTGCCACATCCACTATTTCCCACAATACTGTCCTTACTAGTAGATTAGATTTATTCTACACCCTCTTTGGTGCAGGTTATTCAACATGGTGCTTGCTTAGGTCTAGGCTTGGCAGCTCTAGGAACTGCTGATGAAGATGTTTATGATGAGATTAAGAGTGTCCTTTACACCGACAGTGCAGTTGCTGGTGAAGCTGCTGGTATTAGCATGGGATTATTAATGGTTGGAACTGCAAGCGAAAAGGCAAGCGAAATGCTGGTGTATGCTCATGAGACACAACATGAAAAGATCATAAGGTGAATTATTGCTTTTTAATAGGTGCTCCTAATATATCAGTATAACATTATGGCTTCCTGTTAGTTGTAACTGTTAACATTATTAACTTTTTGCTATGTAGGGGGTTGGCATTGGGTATTGCCCTCACAGTTTATGGACGAGAAGAACAAGCAGACACACTAATTGAACAGATGACCCGGGATCAAGATCCTATACTACGTTATGGTGGCATGTATGCATTGGCTTTGGCATACAGTGGGACAGCAAATAACAAGGCAATCCGACAACTTCTGCACTTTGCTGTTTCCGATGTGAGTGATGATGTCAGAAGGACTGCTGTTTTAGCCCTTGGGTTTGTTCTGTACTCTGAACCGGAACAGGTTGGTGGTGTTTCTTTTAATCTCGTTCAGAAACTTAATCTCTTTCTTGTTGATTTTTCACCAGTTTAATTTTAGCTAAGTTTCTTTTTGTTGTGAGGTGTTATGCTGTTACTCGGGAATAAAATTGTCACAGATATTTAGTTTTATTTTTTTAGTTATTTTTGGGTGGATTATGATTTAGAGACCAAGCATGTGTTGATACTTTTCTTTTTGGTTCTACCTACTGCAGACCCCACGTATTGTCTCTCTCCTGTCCGAGTCTTACAATCCCCATGTACGATATGGGGCAGCTTTGGCCGTAGGCATTTCCTGTGCTGGTACTTGCCTAAGCGAGGCTATATCTTTGCTAGAACCCCTGACATCAGATGTGGTTGATTTTGTTCGTCAAGGTGCTCTTATTGCAATGGCTATGGTGATGGTCCAAACCAGTGAAGCTAGCGATTCTCGTGTTGGGACATTCAGGTAATTTTATTACTCTCCTGTTCGACAGTAGTTGCAATGTTTGACTATGCACTTATTAGTTAGTCTGATAAAAGTGTTGGAGCCAAAATGTATTAATACTTTTTCATTAATATCACATGGACCAAAATCAGTACCATCCCGATTTTGTAATGATCACAAGTGTCAAATAAGTGACTTAGATTGAAAGTTGGCTGGATAAGGAAATAGTGCCAGCCTGCCAGGTATTATTGGACATTGGCATATCCTATAATGGAAAAAAATTCAATTATTTCTGGTTGCAGTATGCTTTAAGTATTTTATTACTGCTCTTCCATAGATGTTTAATAGGATGTAATTAATAAATCTGCTGCTGCTATGTTTATTAATCTTTTCCTCGTGGGTTTTTAACCTCTAATAGGCGGCAATTGGAGAAGATCATTTTGGATAAACATGAAGATACGATGAGTAAGATGGGGGCTATTTTGGCCTCTGGAATTCTCGATGCTGGCGGAAGGAATGTTACCATCAAGTTGCTTTCCAAAACAAAGCATGACAAGATAACTGCAGTCATTGGGCTTGCTGTTTTCAGCCAATTTTGGTACTGGTATCCTCTAATATACTTCATTAGCTTAGCTTTCTCCCCCACAGCTTTAATTGGACTCAACTATGACTTGAAAGTACCAMGMTTTGAATTCTTRTCWCAYGCSAAACCATCATTGTTTGARTAYCCTCGRCCMACRWCYGTACCSACCRCCACATCAGCTGTSAAACTCCCGACTGCTGTTTTGTCMACWTCRGCWAGAGCCAAGGCYAGAGCYARTAAGAARGAGGCWGAAAAAGCTAATGCTGAAAAGTTATCTGGCACCGATTCTGCTGCCGCCTCAAGTTCTGGGAAAGGAAAAACTTCAGTTGAGAAGGATGGAGATTCTATGCAGGTAACTTCTCTTTCGGTCATTTGTATCTTGTTGTGACTGCTTCATTACTTGTTTGGAAACCTTCCTCTTACTAATTACTATATGTTCCTATTCTGTTTGCCTGTTTAAGATAGAAATAGTAGCTCAAGGGTGCATTTGATACGGGCCGGATTGGTCAGGACAAAACAAAAGATTGTTGTCCCATGCTAGGTGTGACGTTCAACTGGTACAGGATGAACTTAGTGGGACAGAACAGAAATACCAAAATAGGTGGAACAGAACTCTGGAAGATGACACAAAATAGATAATTGTGAAACTACCCGTGTAAAACACTAAAACCTTACATAATTCTTTTACCTGCTTTTCTCACTCTCACCCTTCCAGTCTTGTCCAGTTCCATCTTAATATACCAAATGCACCCTAAAAGCCTATATGGCCTGTAAAGAGGTTACATTTTTCTCTATTATCGACTTGGATTCTTAGAAAATGATTATTTATGCATCTATGGCAGGTTGATAGCCCCACATCCGAGAAGGAAAAGAAGGCCGAACCTGAACCAGCTTTTGAGATTTTGACAAACCCTGCAAGAGTGGTCCCTGCTCAAGAGAAATATATCAAATTCCTAGAAGATAGCAGATATGTTCCGGTGAAGGCAGCTGCTTCCGGTTTTATTCTTGTAAAAGACCTGCACCCTACTGAACCAGAACTGTTGTCTCTAACCGATGCACCCTCATCAACTACTGGTGGTGCACCAGCAACTACACAACCAGGGTCCACCACAGGCATGGCTGTAGATGATGAGCCTCAGCCACCTCAACCATTTGAATACAGTACCTGATCAGCCTTGTAGGTAACTAGTGCCAATTTGAAAAACTGGTTTGGGTATAGTTGTATCTTTTCTCTTGAATCAAATCAGGTCAATCTGATTGGATCTAATGTTAGATTTCATTCAAATTGGTACTTATACTCGTTAGTTTCAGGTTCAGCAATTGCAAATAGCAGTCATTGAGTTTCTAAATGTTGTGGTTGGTTGGTTGGGGGTGTGATGGATGGATCTTTCGACCACCATAACTAACTTTTGAACGTTGAAAGCCTTGGTAGTATGTGATGGGGTTTAAATTTCGGTAATCGGTTTGGTCCGTGAACAAGTTGTTCGTCCTCAAAACTCAACCAGAACCGAAGTCAGATATTCAAAATTGTGCAGCTTAGATGCTAGTTGTTGGGGTTTTAATACCATAATGGCCCAAATTCGAATGACACGAACAGTTTTATGTGTGATATCGACAATAGAAAATTGGATGGAATATTAAATATTAATAATGATTGTGTAAACAAGTAAACACCGATGAGAATGGACAATGGATATCTGGATGTGTTTATTTACCAAGGAGAACCCAAAAATACATACTCTTAAGTGCCCTCATGGTTTGCGGAATTCGAACGATTTTAATGACATATGACCAAATTCCAATTCTTTTGTTTGGTTCGTTTTTTGAAATGGATGGAATCCTTCAAATTTATTGAATTATACAAATTAGGGAAAAATCTAAAAAAATCCAATGGACTTTAGTGTTTGGAATGATTAAGTCATTGGACAATTTTTTGGAACAAAYAAGTCATTGGACATTCCAAAACATGTTAAATAACTCATTGGACAATTTAAAACATGTTAAATAACTCATTGGACAATTTTTTGGAACAAATAAGTGACAATCCAAAACATGTTAAATAACTCCTTGGACTTTTCTAAAACCTGTTGGATACATTCTTATGACTTGTACAACTAGTTAATGTGGTAAAATAATGAAAAAAAAATCCGAAAAAGAACATTTATATTTTGAACGATTAAGTCCCTAAACATTTTTTGAACCAAAAATGATTTAGATCTATAAAATTAAACAAATATAACAAAAAAAAAATACTTACATTTAAAAAATATTATTGATGAAATTTATTTTAATTAAAAATAAAATATATCATGTATATGATTTTTCTAAATTAAAAAAAGAGATTTAAAAAAAATTACTTATTAAATTTATTTTAATTAAAAATAATATAAGGAATAAACCCTATTCTATGCCCATCTTGCTAACCAGTGACACACTGGGGCCATGGGTCATGAAAGAGGTTAATTGGAGTTGTTCATGCCCTAGGGTAGGCCGGAAATGAGTACTTGCTACGGGTGATCTTGACTTAAGACAGAATGTCGTTTATCAACTTCAATATAGGGACCTCCGGGGGGTGGAGGTGGAATATTTATTATATCTCATAAAGAGAGTTATTATTATTTTTAATTAAAATAAATTTAATAAGTAATTTTTTTAAATCTTTTTTTTTAATTTAGAAAAATCACATACATGATATATTTTATTTTTAATTAAAATAAATTTAATAATAATTCTTTTTAAATTTTTTTATATTTTTTGTTTGAAAAATCACTGACAGAATATATTTTAATTTTAATTAAAATAAATTTTATCAATTTTTTTTAAATGTAATTATTTTTTTGTCAATGTAAGTACTTTTTTGTTATATTTGTTTAATTTTATAGATCTGAATACTTTTTTGTTCAAAAAATATTAAGGGACTTAATCGTTCAAAATATGAATGTTTATTGGGGGTTTTTTTCGGACTTTTGTCACTATTTTACCACTTTAACTAGTTGTACAAGTTATAAGAATGTACCCAACATGTTTTAGAAAAGTCCAATGAGTTATTTAACATGTTTTGGATTGTYCAAKGAYTTATTTGTTCCAAAAATTGTCCAATGAGTTATTTAACATGTTTTAAATTGTCCAATGACTTATTTGTTCCAAAAAATTGTCCAAGGAGTTATTTAACATATTTTGAAATGTCCAAGGACTTATTTATTTCAAAAAATTGTCCAATGACTTAATCATTCCAAACACTAAAGTCCATTGAGTTTTTTTAGACTTTTCCCTACAAATTAATGAATTCATCATTACTTGGCATAATGAAAAGAATTGAATTTTATCACCACCCACCACGACCATGCTACTATTGTTCATCATGTCCCACCCCTAACCCCCCACCATCACCATACCACTACTGTTGCCGYCACCCACCCTACCCCACTACTAACCACCATTCCACTACCGTTGTCATCACACCCACCCACCCCCGGTCAMTCACTGCACATCCCTACTACGACCATGCTACTACCTTTCTGTTGCGCCATAACCTAACTCCACCACCACACCATTATTGTTGCTGTTACAACTGCCACTCATCCCCACCCCATCCCCCCCACCCAACCCACCACTAAACACCATGCCACTACTATCGCCGTCATATCCACCCACTCCCAGCCACCCGACCACCATCCCACCATTGTTGTCGTCACAGCTACCACCCCGCCACCCATCCAATTCCATCAAATTCCATTTTGTGAACCAAACACCCACTAAGCTATTAACACTAATCCATACAATGTGGTTTGTTATGAACCATCATGTCCCACCCCTAACTCCCCACCATCACCATACCACTACTGTTGCCGTCACCCACCCTACCCCACTACTAACCACCATTCCACTACCGTTGTCATCACACCCACCCACCCCCGGTCACTCACTGCACATCCCTACTACGACCATGCTACTACCTTTCTGTTACGCCATAACCTAACCCCCACCACCACACCATTATTGTTGCCGTTACAACTGCCACTCATCCCCACCCCACCTCACCCCACCCAACCCACCACTAAACACCATGCCACTACTATCGCCGTCATATCCACCCACTCCCAGCCACCCGACCACCATCCCACCATTGTCGTCGTCACAACTACCACCCCGCCATCCATCCAATTCCATCAAATTCCATTTTGTGAACGAACAACCACTAAGCTATTAACACTAATCTGTACATTGTGGTTTGTTATGACTTAATTACCGTATCATACCGCATATTGATGATATCAATAGTTGGTGAAAGATCATGTGAAAAGGAGAGTTAACATGAGAAGTGTAAGAAGGGATCTCAACCCTAGAAACGAGGATAAATTCGGTGCATCTCATCCTAATGTGCATCCAATAGCAGAGATCCATTCTTACGCTTCTCACCTTAACCTTCCTTCTTATCGAAACTCAACCCTTAATAGTTAATGCCACAATTAGTATTAAACATTTATTTTGATTTACCAAGTTTCTACATTTCTCAAATTTTAATATTCAACAATGTTATTTTTGCTTTACCATTGGAGTATTATAATGATATTTTGTGACATATATATATATATATATATATATATATATATAAATATGGCATGATCATATGTGTAACATTCTAAACCAATCATATTAGATTTTGTTTGCTTTGTCTATATATTTAGACTTACGATTTTAAGACACGTATGATAAATGAGGTATCCAGTACATTATAAGACAACCTTAGTTCTCCTCTCAAACCAATATGAGATCTTACAATATATTTAATGATAATTGAAGTTTACTAATGATATGATAATACCATTGATCAATGTATATTATTGTAATATATTTAAGAGTAAATTATGATTTTTATCCTTGTGGTTTGTTAATAATTTTCATTTTCATTCAATTGGTTTAGAAATTGTGATTTCAGTTTTTATGGTTTGTAATTTATTGTTATTTTCGTCCCTAGACTAAATTTCTACCTTTAAGTATAATGGACCACAAGAGTAAAAAAAATTAAACCCATAGGATCGAAAAAACAATAAATGGTAAATCATAAGAACGGAAATAACAATGAATTACAAACCATATGAACGGAAACCACAATTTCTTAATCACATGAACGAACCGCAATTTTTAACAAATCACAGGGACGAAAAACATAACTTAATCTATTTAAAACCAATACAACTATAATTATTTATTACGAATAATCCATGTATTTTGGTATGCAAATAAATATACAACTGAATATTTTATTTTGGTACACAAGTATTTTATTTTAAATGGACTATGAAACTTTGTATTATCATACTTTTAAACACGTTGATTTTAGGTCCAAATGCATAAATCGCACCGCATTTTACGGTTTAAGGCAACACACACTTTAGTTTGTTATTTGAAAAAATCTCAAAGTATATTTATGGCTTGATTTGTGATTTTGGCACCTTGGTTAACATGTAGCATCTTATATCTTAATTTCGGTGTATTTTTAAATCAGTAATAAATTATTAGATAATATATATATATATATATATATATAGATATAAAATTAAGCGTATAGGATTGAAAAAGAGATTTGATTCAAAATTCAAAAGTTGAAAAGGAGATGGAGCTGGTCTTAATGAATTAAGCGTGTCATGAAAAGAGAAGCTGGTGATGAGCGTTGTATGCTTGTGATTCACATTAATTAAAAAGGTGGTCTCAAAATTATTATTCAATCAGAGGTGATCTTGTGAGCTGCTTAAAATTCCATCCACAGGCTCAGGCTGCTTCTTTTCTCTATATATCTATATCTATATATTATATGTATAACCATGCATTACTTACTTGTACCATATGCATATATATTACATAGAAATGTTAACTTAACATATAATATATATATATATATATATATATATATATATATGAATAGTAGAAAGTCAAATTAAGATGTCCTAGAAGACGAAGTAGGGCACGTTACATAGAGATAAACCTTGATGATGATGAACATAGATCGCAGACCATATATATATATATAGATATTAGTATTATAGATAGCTCTGCATCCTTTCAATTCTTTGTCCATATATGTTCATGGTGTAACCCCACTCCTCCTCCATCATTTACTATTTGATTACTCTCTGCAGGACCCATTTGCATGCTGCATATTACGTTAAACTTTGTCTTTTCATTAGAATTCAATTTCTTTGGTCAAAGTCTTTTTCTAGTTTTGTATCTATCTATCTCTATATATACATACATACATACATACATACCCATGGAGAAAGATGATACCAACTACTCGGTATGAACAACTTATATGAACCATAGCTACTAGCTAAACTAAATATCCATCTTTTTTCATCACCATGTTGTTTTATAGCGAATTCCAACTCTTGCAGGGAGGTTTTCTTGAGTTTAATGGCGATCATGAACATCTTCATCAGCACCACCAGCACCAGCAACAGTTCATGGTGAAAAACACATACGAGAATAATGGGAATCAAATGGTGGATTACTTGATTAACAATCCAATTCAACATCTACCTTCTGGTGCTGGTTTTTCTAGCCCCAACTCGTTCGACAAGTTGAGCTTTGCAGATGTGATGCAGTTTGCAGATCATGGACCCAAGTTGGCTTTGAATCAAAACAAAACATCATGCCATGATCATCACGATCAGGAAGATCAAGAAACTGGGATCGATCCGATTTATTTCTTGAAGTTTCCAGTTCTAAATGAGAGGCTTCAAGAAGATCATCATCATCATCATCAGTCTTTATTGCCACCTCTTGGAGACGATGAACATGTAGTGACTGAAGGAGGAGAAAGATCTAGAGAAGAAGAAGCTAGGGTTTCTGAAGGTAATAATATGTCTGTTCGTCTCCAATTCATCGGTGATCAAGACGTTCATAAAACCCTAGTTTCAGAAGGGAAGAACAAGAGAAAAAGACCAAGAACTATAAAGACAAGTGAGGAAGTTGAGAGCCAAAGGATGACTCATATCGCAGTCGAAAGAAACCGAAGAAAGCAAATGAACGAACATTTACGCGTTCTAAGGTCTCTCATGCCGGGTTCTTATGTTCAAAGGGTACGTATTTATTGATTTCTGCTTCGTGCTAATCAACTGAATTTGATCAAAATGCAGAAATAAACAACTGAGTTTTGATGATTTTATGAACTTTAGGGTGATCAAGCTTCAATTATTGGTGGAGCCATTGAGTTTGTGAGGGAGCTAGAGCAACTCCTGCAATGTCTTGAGTCACAAAAACGTCGAAAACTCTACGGCGATAATACCCCGAGGGTCATCGGAGATTCATCATCTCTTCCGATTCTGCAACAAGGGCCGGCGGCGGCAGTGTTTTACCCTCCTCCTCCCGATGATGAGATAAAGTTAGTTGAATATGACGGTGGTCTGAAGGAGGAGACGGCGGAGAGCAAGTCGTGTTTGGCTGACGTGGAAGTGAGACTTTTAGGGTTTGATGCCATGATCAAGATTTTATGTAGGAGAAGGCCTGGTCAGCTTATTAAAACCATTGCTGCACTTGAAGATTTGCAGCTTAATATCCTTCATACAAACATCACCACCATTGAACAAACTGTGCTCTATTCTTTCAATGTCAAGGTATATAACCATCACACACATATACATAGATACATACATATATATATATATATATATATACATGTATATATATTCAGAATCAGTGTTTTTTTCTCATTTGAAGCAATCTGAGAAAGTGCTTAACATTTGCAGGTTACTAGTGAAGTAAGGTTTTCGGCTGAAGATATAGCGAATTCGGTACAACAAATCATTAGTTTTGTTCACGAAAATACAGGTACTTGATTGATGATGAAATCTTCGGCTGAAAATACCCCGATCGATCTACCATCAAACACAACCATCGGCTTCCATTTCCTATGGATATGAGGTGTGCATCGGACAGACAAATCAGTCGGAAATGATATGTTCTTGTAGCTGCATTATTATAACTCATAATATATTTTTCTCATATTTCAGAATATTCTTTAGTTTCAATATTCAGTCTATTTGATGTATGGGTTCTTTAGATTACATATTAAAGCATAGTGTATACTTTCGTAAGGATTTATTGCAAGGACTCATAATATATATTCACATATGAATTATCATCTACAAAATGAATCTTAGTCAACCTGAGTCAACTTCATTGAAACATGTACAATGCTAAGCTCTTAATGTAACACCAACAGTCCCATCTACTTGAACCTTTTTATTTATTTATAAGAAGTTGGTTCAACACATAGCACATTAAAAGATGATAAAATGTAGTTGTTTTCGAGTTCTTGAATTCGAATAACTTCATCTTTAGAAGATGATGACTATATATGTTGTTACTTACCCCATATATATATATATATATATATATATATGAATGATGGTACTTTTGATGCAATAATTATATATATCATATAGAAAAATGTCAACGGGGGTTGTTTGGGATCTAAGCAAAGGTACAAAGTTTGACATGGAAGAGGTTTGACTTGTCAGAATTAATGAATTTGGAGGTATTACCCTTTACATTTTCGAACATCAGAACCCACCCATATGCCTTGTCCCTGCCATATTTGCACTATATATATATATATATATATATATATCCATCATGTATTTTCATAAACTGTATCAAATATGTTATGTGTAATCTGTATAAAGGGTTCAAATTTGAAATTACTTGCAGCACATGATGAGTTATATGGTTAGGGTTTTGAAAGAATTTTGTTTTGGTTCAGATATATTTGGGTGGCAGTCGATCTAACCCATAAACCAATGAAGGTGCATGAAAGTTTGCATTTGAAAAAGAGTACAATTTCATCTGAAATTTGTTTATTAGAATTCATTTGGATTTGGAGGTGATTTGTTACATCATAATGTCTTGAATTTTATATATACTCTTTCTCCTTTTTTTTTTTTTTTTTTAATTTATGTACAAACAAATATTCAAAAAAAAGTTTAAAATCAAAGAATCCAAAAAAGAAGAACCGGGGAACCCAATCAAACATTGGATCTAAAAATAGATGACCCGTATTCAAATGTATCTGCCCTGAATTGTGAATTTGATTTCGGCAAAATGTGATCGTCTCTATATTCACAATTGTAGGATTAAAATATATGAGTTGTTCAGATAACTCCCCCTTTCTATTTTTTAGTGTTCTATTTAGACCTATCCTATTTAAAATATGTGTATATATAAATGAAATGAGATTAGGGAGATGCAATATCATATTGACCTATGTTTTTATCTCATTACCTCCTAAGGAGGGGACAAGTCAATGGTAGACCTACTTATTTTATGGTATTCAAAGTTTTATATAAAATGTTGTACCATTAACTTTTTGTATTTTAAAAATCAAACAAAAATTTAAGTTATTGACACTTGAGTCATTTTGAATTGTACCTAATTGCTTATAAAAGGCATGACTACAAAATTATGTGACATTTGTTAAGGGAAAATCCCAACTTATTTTCATATTTTTAAGTAATCAAGTTCTTAAACTTTATTTATTTATTTTATAAATATGTGTTCTATAATGTATTGAAATTGAATAAAGAAACCATTGAACTTTATCATTACTACAAAATTGGTTTTATAGGATGCCTAAAATGTCTAATTATCCTAATAAAATACTTTATATGATTTAAGTTTATAAGATCAAACCAAAATCTTCTATCTAAATTTTAAATTAGTCGTTTTTTTTTTCCAGATTTGAGGGTGTTACATTTTAAAAGTAGCCATAGAAAATAGAAAATATGGTAATAATCCAAAACAACTTGAAAACACAAACTTCCAATCTGAAAGATATGATCTCGAACTTGCTATAGGATCTGTTTTGATATCCTTATGCATGCCCTTCTGTAAGTCTTTGGTTTCATAAATGTTTATTTACAACACCTTTAATTATTAGAATTTGATCCAGATCCTTTTCTCAAACTTAGGCTCAGAGTTATTCAATTTGGTCTCGGTTTTGGTTCTTGTTTTTGGCTTCAGACTTGCAAAGTTATTCAATTTGGTGTTAGATATTGTAACCGCCATTCTTATCGCCATTGTTGTGTGTGCAGGTGTTAGACCCCAGAATTCCTATTTATTAAAAGTATTGTAAAATGATTTAAGTGCTGAAAACTAGGGACCCTATGAAGATAAACCAGAGAAAGGCAATGAAGAACCAGAGATACCAAACCTGATGATCACCTACTGATGAAGAGTCCCTCTGGTCTATGAACAACACCTAAATAGAAACCCTTTTGGTCTTCAGCTGCTGATGGAATGCTTAAGATACCAACTATTGTCCAGTCAGCTCTTGCCTAACAAACTGACACATGGAGGCTCTTGATTGGACATGCCACCTAGAGACAGTTATTTCACTTTACACATGGCAGACTATGATTCATCAATGTCTTGACTTTATTCTCTAGAAGGTTACAAACAGTTGCTTGACTGCATTCTATTAGACAATCCTTTTTAGCAAGCTTTTGATTACTAACTGTGTAATTTTCTTTGAAGATCTGCATTGTAATCAAAGTTTTTCTCTCAATATATCAATAAAATGATGATTGCTACAACCTATTCTTAAATATCATAGCTGCTTATGAAATCTTCATAACCCAAGGAGTAGATCGTCTTCCTCCACTCTAAAATTCTTACACCTATTCACATTTTGAGAGAACTGGGATTTAATAATCAATATCAGAGCCAAATGATTGTTCATCAATCAAACGATCAATTCTGAAATTGTGAATCATTTCTCTCATCTGTTCGGTTTTTCTTCAAGATCTAGTTATCGTTCACTCATATCCCCTGTTTTTCACAGTTTTCTCAAAGAGATATAAAATCTTGTGATTAATAGGTATTTTCTCCTTGGATATAGAAGAACTAATTGATATTTTCTCTTGATAAAATGTCTAATTGGACTTCTGCATATAGTGTGGGTTCACTCACGAAACCTTCAACTCTTCAAAGAGAAGATTCAATGGAAGATATGAAGATAAACTTCGAGGGTATGGATGTAAATATAAATCTGTGATCAATGGTCCTCATATTCCACAAACCCTGATCCCTAAGGTTCCAGTCACTCTACTACCGAAGAAATTCCTACATATTTTGTTCCTAAGGATGAAAAATCATGGAATGATGATGATAAAGAAAAAGTGGAAGTGGTGACAGGAAGGTTAAGAGGCTTTTTATCATGGCTATCCCAAATGAAATATTCCAATCTCTTGACTCTTGCAAAACTGTAAAAGAGATTTGGGATGAACTTGCTAGTTAGTTACAAGGAGGTTTAACGACTAAGAAGAACAAGAGAGCTCAATGTTTGAATTAATACACAAATTTTAAGGGTCTTCCTGATGAACCAATTCAGAGAACTTATGACAGGTTTAACACCTTGATTAATCAGTGTCACAGGAATGACATCACACGTACAAAAGAAGAATATAATGATTTATTTCTTAAAAGTCTTGGTGATGAGTGGACACAATTGTCCATGTCCCTAAAGGCAAATCAGGATCTGGAAAGCTGGTCACTCCATGATGTCTATGGAACTTTGGTTGCTCAAAAGAAAGACTTAATGAAGAAGAAGGTTACTTTTGGTGGTCCTCTGGCTCTAGTTTCAGAAGAAAAAGAAGCAACCAGAAGTTCATCAAAAACTCATCACAGAAAGAAGAAAAGAAGGCCTTGATGATAAATAGTGAGTCTAAAGTTGAAAGTCCAGACACAGATGATGATTTAAAAGCTTTTGCTGAATCTTTGGCCCTTATTACCAAGAAGTTTCGGAGACAGTTCGTCAAGAGACCTTATGAGAAGGATCATAGGAAGAAGTATAGAGGAGATAGATTCCATAAGCCCACCTATGAACAGAAACCAGTAAAGTTTTATCCAAGAGAAAAGGGAAGAGAAAAGCAAAGAGAGAAGAGAAGAGATAAAAGAAGAGAAAAGAGAAGAGAGAAGTGAAGAAAAACAAGTACAAATATCATGCCAAAGAGAGGAGCTTCACGATAAAGAAGGAAAATTGGATCTCTGACTCCTCTTTCAAATATGATCATGATAAAGCCTTGGTATGTTTGATGGCCAAGTCCTCTGATGCAGAGAGATCCATATCTGATGACCCTATCTCTCTGACGAACATGTATACACTTCTTCCAACATCTATGATGAATACACTCACTTTGCTCAAACAGAGCTAGAGATAAGTATTCAACAATCCTCTGTTGATTTCCAAAAACTTAAACAAAAACTTGAACTTGAAAGATCTGAGAGAGAGAGAGAGAGAGAGAGAGAAAGTTAAGAGAGAAACAAATTACTTCAAGAGAGAAACACATCTTTTAACTAAGGAAAAAATGAAATTGAGAAAGAAAAAAAAGTCAAAAGAAGAAAAACTTTTGGATTTGAAAAGGAAAGTAACTAAGGATTTGGAAAGAAGGTTAAGGAATTCAAAGAGTTTGAATCTGTAAGATTAAATTCTGTGGCACTAAAGGATTTTTTTTCCAAAAAGAAAGAGAAGTACTTCATCAGAAGCTTCAATCTTCAAAACGGATGAACTTTTGATCAAAAAGTACAAGGATGCACAAAATGTCTATGAAAAGGTGAACAGTCAGATGAACACTCAAGGATTAGGCTACAATGAACTTGATTCCTCCATAGGAAAAAAAAAATACTTTTGCATCAACTTTTAACCTTGGTTGTGTTCAAAAACCTGACTTTTCTTCAAAAATAACTTCATCTTTCAAGAGAATCAAGATTGATGGGAAATCAAAATTTTCAAGCAGAAATTCAAAAATGTGTTACATGGAAGCAACAAACAAAAGGTCTATGTTCATCCAAAGCCTCTGGCCAATCAAACCAGAGCCCTAAAGAACAAAATG